GAAGGAAGGAAGGAAGGAAGGAAGGAAGGAAGGAAGGAAGGAAGGAAACAGTGCACAGCAACCCCCTATTATAACTTTCTTCTTCTAAAAATAAAAATAGTCCTCCCCTTAGAAATTCTACATCATTATCTGGTATTTATTTAGCACATGCATGCCCAGATACCTAAAAGAATTATCTCAGAATTTCTGCAGTATTTTAAGGTGGCTAGGAACCTCCACTTTACAGAACTGGAACACTTTAGTAAGTTGCCTGGAGTCATACAGCTAGGACCTGGCTGAGCCAAAATATGGTCCCAGGTCTTTCTTCCTTTTCCTGTCCTTTTCCACACTCTCACAAAGCAACACATTCGAGCCCTCGATGAAACTGGAACCCCTTTGTGTGTCCGTGTTACTGAGCAGGTTCAACTATTTCTAAGCTTTGATGTGGTTGGCTCCCATCGTTCTGTGGGACAGAAGGCTGAATGGTAAGTAGGGGATACATTTCTGGGTAACCCTCAGGAGCTCTGGGGCTTTATCTGAACCAGTTGAGTCTGGTCTCATGAGGAATTCTTTCCCTTGTAGTTCTTTCAAGTGGGAAGAATGGGGGAGATTCACAGCTTCGTCCTGGTCACCATTGCCCTGATAATGGGCAGGGAAACCTGGGTAAGCCTTTTGTGCAGACTATTATATCTATAAGGCCCACTTAGAGATGGAATTTCTGTTTAATTTCCAAAAAAAAAAAAACAAAAAAAAAAACCAAAACTATATTAACTTGCTGCCAAGGAATGAAAAAGTTCTGTGGAAACATGTGGCACATAGTAACACTTAAACACTTTAAAAATAAAAATTAGGATTTATAACAAATCAGTGAAATATTTTTAAGCTGTTATTTCTCTTTTCACATGATATCAGGCATTCAAAACTAGCCATGGTAGTTAGTATTGGTCTTGGGCCAATATTGGACATAATTGCCATATACTATCACAATTATCTGAAGGTAGTGTCAATGAACTTGTGTCTCCATTTACCTGTCCCAAAGGACAAAAGATTAACTTACTCAAAGTTCTAGGGAAAATGAAATGACTTTCTGTTGGAAATAGTGTTCTGGCATGGGAGTGGGAGGCAAAATCGGATCAAGGGTTTATCCAGATTATTAGCAACATGTATTTTCCATGAACATGAGATGCACATTGCCTTGCAGGCCCTCGAGAATGCCAACTGTTTGCAGGAGCAGGAAAGGCTCAGAGCTCAGGTCTACCAACTTGAGACTCGGGTTAAACAACTACAGACCGTGATCAAACAGCTCGTGCATGAGAAGGAAGTCCAGTTCCTGGATGAAGGACAGAAGGACAATTTCATTGACCTTGGAGGCAAGAGGCAATATGCAGGTCAGAATGGGTTTACCTTATCTTAACTAGCTGTGGCACACATCCACATGGAATGATGGCATTAGGTATTCAGTGACTTTGGGCTTTTTCTTTGTTCCATTTTGTTTTTTTTTAGTTTTTATTTTCAACTCAGGATCTCACTATATAGCTTAGGTTGGTCTGGTACTTAACTGTCTTCCTGCCTCAGCCTCCATAAGGGCTGGGATTTCAGGTATATCCCTGCCCCACCCATCACCACCACCCTGAGCGTACTTCACATCTTACTAAAAAGCTATGCCTACTCCAATTATAAGCAGCATAACTCATTCCATCAATTTAACTGTCTTCTTCCATATTTTACCCTTTTCTCTCTAGTCTGAGCCCAGAGGGTGTTTGATAAGAATACTAAGTATCTGAGGATTTCTGTATCTCAATAAGAAATCAGGATGACAGATTGTTCAATATTCACCTAAAAATGGCAGATTGTAATTGAGAATATGTTTAAACTTTGTTTTTATGTATGTCTTTCCTCCTTATGTGTATGCAGTTTTCCCTTCTGTTTATTTTGAGCTGTTGTCTAGTCTTGAAATTCAGAGTGGGAGCAATCCTTCTGCTTCAGCTTCCTGAGTAGCTTGGGTCACAGGTGTGTGCTCCCATGCCTGGGGCTCCCTTCTGAAACCCACAGTGAAAAATAAATGAATAGAATAAAAGGATAGGGCTGGGCGGTGGTGGCGCACGCCTTTAGTCCCAGCACTCGGGAGGCAGAGCCAGGCGGATCTCTGTGAGTTCGAGGGCAGCCTGGGCTACCAAGTGAGTTCCAGAAAGGCACAAAGCTACACAGATAAACTCTGTCTCGAAAAACAAAAAAACAAAAAAACCCAACAAAACCAAAAAAGAAAGAAAGAATAAAAGGATAGGAAAAGAATAATCCTCATTTTTAAGGAGTAGTTTTCAAATATGTATATTTAATAGTCTGGCATTTTTCCTTTTGAATAGGCCAACATTTATATCCTAGAAATGAAATGATGTTGAACTGTGAGCACAGTGTAAATACCACGGCACACATCACCGTTCTTGACAGAAAAATGCCTTTTGGTTTCCTATACGTGTGAATGGCTTCTGTAAGAGTGAACAGTGATGGTTAGAAACAAAGAGAATGCTGTCTAGAACTCTTTGTTCACAGCTGTCTCTATGCTGCATATCTACGATGAATTCTAATTCCTCTGTTGAATGTTTCTCTGACTTGATTAGCTGGTCACTGTGTAAGGTTTGCAAGGATATCCAGTGCATTTGAAAGTATTTCTTACTATCTGATAGGATGGATGTTTTGCCTGTGTGCTGTATACATGCTTGGTGTCCATGGAAGCCAGAAGAGGGAGTCAGTCCCTGGGAACTGGAGTTACAGACAATTGTGAGCTGCCCTGTGGATGCTGGGAATTGAAACCCAGTCCTCTTGAAGAGCAGCCAGTGCTCTTAACTGTTGAGCCATCTCTCCGGGCCCAGCCAGTGCATTTTATCTTCCCATGGACTATGAGAGCTTTGAAACATAGTTGATCCTCCTGTTTGCAGATAAAAAAAAATGGGGAATAGATGAGCAAGTATAAACTCAGAAATTTACTGTAACCAAAAGCAGATGTCAAAGACATGCCAATCCTAGGGGAATAAAAACTCCCCATTTTGTGCCTGTAAATGCCTTACTAGGGCGGTGTATTACTTTCCCGTCACTGAGAAAGCACCTGACGAGAACCGATTGAAGGAAGAAGAGATTTATTTTGGTTTAAGGTTTGAGGGGATCCATTCCATCAAGGCAGAGAAAGCATGGCTGCAGGAGCAGGGGACGCCTGGTCACACTACGGCTGTAGTCAGAAAGCAGGAAGGGAAGAGAAATGAGGTGGGGCTGTACACGTCAACCCCATCCCTAGCGACCCATTTTCTTCAGCATGGCTCTACCTCCTAAAGTTCCCCTGTCTACCCAAACAGCGCCACCATCTGGGGACCAAATGCAAAAAGGCCTATGGAGACATTTCACCTTTGAACCACATGTGGGATTTAGAGTTGTGCGAACTATAGAATTTACGCTTCGGTAAAATGCCCACGTTCGCCCGGAAATCTTCTCCCGGATTCTAATCTCTCTATGCTCAAACTGCTTGCCCTGAATGCCTCACCTTCTGCTGCTCAACTGACTTAGTTGAGGTTTCTGTTGCTGTGGTGAAAGCAATTTGAGGAGGACAGAGTTACTGCAGTCTACAGTTCCTCATCACAGTTCATCCCTGGAAGAAGTCAGGGCAGGAACTCAGGCAGGGCAGGAACCGGGAGGCAGGAGCTGCGACAGAAGCTATGGAGTAGTGCTGCTTACTAGATCACTCCCCATGGCTTTAAAAAAAAAAATACCATTCAGGACCACCTGCCTGGAGGTAGCATTGTCCACAATAGGCTGAGCCCTCCCACATCAATCACCAATCAGGAAAGTGCACAACAGGCATTGCCCATTGGCCAATCTGGTGGGGACATTTTCTCAATTGAGGTTTCTTCTTCCCAAATGACCTTTGCTTTGTGTCAGTGTCAAGTTGACATAAAAATAGCCATTGCAAAAGCATCTTGGTATTTAGAAACTCCCTTCTCCCCCGCCCCCCAATGTTTCCTATGCTCCCCTTTCGAGGTCAGAGAAGGTCAGAGCCATTGGCTTACAGTAGTAAGGATAGGTATAACATAAGGATACCTGGGACTCCAGAACATGAAGCAGAACGGAGGCTATCTCAGGTTAAACACAAAGGGATAGATAGTGTGAAGAAGTCCCAAGGGCAAAGGCACAGAAATTACATTCTAAGAAGAAAACTACAGAGAATATTGGTTAGGACAGTAAATGAAGGCAACATCTACAGGGAATCAGACTCTGTGTGTGTCCTTGGAAGACAGTGATTCCCTGCCATAGCCACTCATTCCAAGTAGCTGGTGCCCTTCTACAGTGCTAATACTTCCCCCAAAATTGAAGGGGCTTGATTTACTCTATTTGCAAGCTAATCAGCTTGCCTGCATGGATCTAGCAGAGGGCTACAGCTCAAGGGTCAGAAGTATTCGTTTCATATTCACATTAATGTCTCTTGTTCTCAAATACCAAGACCCCGTGTGAGCAGTTAATGGGGTCTTGAGTTAATGGGGCTGCATCACAGCTGGACACCCTGAGATTAAGAAACTCTAGTAATTTATAGTGGGTCAAAGGGTGTCTAATCTTCAAAGTAGCTGTTATCTTCATTTTAGTGTATAGCAAACAGAGCAACTGTCTGTCCAGAAGGAGATGTTATCTCGATATCTTTCAAGACTGTCCAAGTGTGCTTTTAAACATAATCTAGAATATAACCTCTGTTGGAAAAAAATGTGTAGAAATGCAAGTGCCCTATGGGGAATTGTCTACAAACATTGCCTACATTCTACTCCAGGCTAATGAATGAAGCATCACTGCAGGCCAGTAGATAATTTATGAATTGTCTGATGGATGTGGATGATACTGTTTAAGGACAGAACCAGGTCAGACTTCTTACCATATTTCCTTCCATAGACTGAGATGGGACAAGATTGTTTGGAGTCACCAAGTAAATGTTCTGTCTTTTGGGTTAATAGTGTATTCTTCATGGTACCCTTTGCATTGGTTGAAGTTTCAGGGCTTGACTGTAATGTGGTCAGGTATTTATCCTGAAACTTTTGCTACCTACCCTATGGTTAGTAGGTCCAAAAGCTGTAGTTTTTGTTTTTTTCTCTTTGGGGGCTTGCCACCCAGCTCCCAAATAAATACACAGAGACTTATTCTTACTTATTAATTCCTAGCCCTAGCTTGGCTTGTTTCTAGCCAGCTTTTCTAACTTAAATTATCCTGTTTCTCTTTAACTACATTTTGCCTCTGGGCTTTTTAACCTTTCTTTATTCTATATGTCTTTCTATCCTTCTTACTCTGGCTGGCTGGCTGGCTGGCTGGGTGACTGGCCCCTGGCTTCCTTCTCTCCTTCTCCCGTTTCTCACTCCTCTTCTTCTTCCCAAGAATTCTCCTCCTATTTATTCTCTCTGCCTGGTAGTCCCACCTATTTCTGTCTCCTGCCAAACAATGTTGTCTAAAGAATGAATTGTAGGAGTCAGCTCAGGGGGAAGAGTAGAACCAAGGAGTTTAGAGCAGAGGAAAGAGGCTCGAGAAAACCTCAGAGGTTCAGGAGGGATGGATAATATTGAGAAATTGACATAAACTTAGTGTGCTCGCTTGAACATGTAAAACAGAAGCATTTAGCATCAGAAAATGGACAAAGTCTGGTTCTGACAGGAGGTTTTTGTTTGTTTGTTTAATTTTTGCATGTTTTCTACTTATTCGTCCTGTCAGTCTCAAAGTTTGTATTATTTAACCAGTATCTCCACAGCCTCTCACCTCCCAGCTTCTGCTAATCACTGTTTTCTTTACTTCTATGTACTCAACTTTTAGAAGTCCTGTCTTAGAGTTTCTGTTGCTATGAAAAAGACACCATGACCACAGCAACTCTTATAAAGGAAAACATTTAGTTGGGGCTGGCTTACAGTTCAGAGGTTCAGTCCATTGCCATCATGGAAGCAAGGCAGCACACAGGCAGACATGGTGCTGGAGGGGCAACTGAGAGTTCTACATCTGGATAGACAGACAGAAGGAAGAGAGTGAGACACTGGGCCTGACTTGAGCACCTAAGACCTCAAAATCCACTCCCCATGACACACTTCCTCCAACAAGGCCACACTTCCCAATAGTGCCACTCCCTATGGGACTATGGGGGTCCTTTTCAAACCATGACAGGTCCCTCGTACACACACACACACCAAAATAAACCCAGTGAGATCATTCAGAATTTGTCTTTCTGTGCTTGATTTATTTCATTTGATGTAATGTCCTCCAGAATCATTTACCTTGATGAAATAGCAGGATTTCTTTCCCTAATTTAAAAGCTAAATATTGGGCTGGAGAGATGGCTCAGTGGTTAAGAGGACCCGGGATCAATTCCCAGTACCCACAT